AACCTGAGATGACTGTCTGGTAACAGGAAATAATGCCTGGTAACTGACCTAGAATAGCATTTGGATTTAAAAGCTTACAACCTGTCACTGATATCTCCCACTTGTAGGATCAGTGTAGACTCCTCATCTCTGCACAAGTTTGTTTGCCTTTTAATATTTTAATCTTCTCATTTAATGATGTCTTAATTATACTGGTCATGGTTTTCAAAACTGACTAGTGCTTTTAGGTGCCTCAATTTTTGGGTGCCCAACTACACAGATGTTAAAAGGGTGTGATTTTCAGAACGTGCTGAGCACACACCTTATGAAAATAAGACCTCTTTAATGTGTTTTAAGTTGGGCACCATGGATCTTACGAACTGCAAGAATTGCCTTGGTATATTCTGTGGCTGAATATTGTGCATCAGTGTGGTCTCACAGCAGTCACACTAAACTCCTTGACACTCAACTCAATAATGCTATGTGCATAGCATCAGGGATGCTCAAATCAACTCCAGTCGACTGGCTCCCGGTCCTATCACACATCCAGCCTGCACAGATTAGAAGAGCTGCTCAGACATCTCGCTTTCTTAACCATGTCAATGCAAACACGAGGATCCCGCTGCACCATGACCTGCAGAACCTGCCAAAGACGAGACTAAAATCCCACAACCCTCTGTGGATCCGCATCAAGACCCTTACACCCAACTTTGATGCTGAGGCTCAATGGAGAGTCACTTGGAGCATTTTGACCGCTCAAAACAAACAGCTCGTCGTGGACCCCGCCAAGGAACCACCGGGTTTTGATTTATGTTGGAAAGACTGGTGCAGATTGAATTGCATCAGACATTTCATGGGAGATTGGATAAAGCCTCTTTAAATGGAAAATGAGGCAAACACCTGTATGCAACTGTGGTCACCAGGCACAAATGACAGAGCACATCATATATGAGTGTCCCCTTCATTCTTTTGCCAGGGGCCTGAAGGACATTCACCAGCTCATTGCAGTGGCAATGTGCTGGCTATCAAACTTAGATATAAATTTGTAGTTGTTGCTACCTATCCAAGCCATATGAAAGAAGAAGTTGGACACCCAAAAGTTAACAGCAAAGGAGAATGCATGTAACCTAAGGCATTGTCTACATGAGGAAAATTACTGTAGTAGCTATTCTGGAATAACCTATTTCAGAATAGCTCCATGTGTGAACTCTCTATTCTGGAATAATCACTATGCTAATTTATTCCACAGTAGAGATTTGAGTCAATTTTCCTGTGTAGACAGGGCCTAATATACATCTTCCAATTTTTCTGCTAATTTTTCTGAAGAATCAATTTAGCAACAGGTGCTGAAGACTGAAAAGTTACAATGTGGGGCTATATTTTTAAAAAAGATGCCAATGAGATCCCAGAAATTTCACACTAGTGAATCTCACCTAAGAACCCAGGAAACTGATTGAAGGTTAAAGTATATATCACAGAAAAACCTATGGAAGGGACATAATTATGTAGGAAATGCTGCAAAAGAATACTTATGGGGCTTGTTTATATTAGAATTTTTACCTTAAGATAACTGATTGCCAATTAACTTACAGTAAATAATGTTTGTAAAGGCTAATTTGGACTCTCGCCTAGGCTGAGCTCTAGGGTAAACAAACATTTGTGGAGTTTCGAGAACACAGAGATTTGGTGTCATTATCCTAGTGGAGGTAGTTACAGGGGTAGTCAGATCTACCTTGGAGAGGTAGATGGCACGGTTCTCCTAAACTGAAGAGTTCTGAAATGAGTTGTGAAATCCCAAGGATCTCTGGGCATCTTTTTGGACCACCAGCCCCTCTGGAATATTCTCACAGATCACCTGCCCCTGCCATGAGACTCTGAGAAATGAATTGCACAGAACTGCATTGACTATTCTGACTGAAGTCTCACCAATGCTGTATAAAAGGGAACCAATATCACCCTCATCTGTAACATGATTGCTCCGAGTATGGAACCTTAAATCACTTTGGCCTCTTTGGGCCACCACACCAAATTACAAGTTCATATCAAATTCATTGATATCTCTTCTGTAATTACTGCTTTTCAAGTCTCTCTGTACCCCATTAACTATATGTGGTCCCTCATCCAATGCTATGACATATTACCTCATTGTTTCCAAGTCTCATTCTGCAATTTTAATTTTAAATTTAAAGTGTATTTATTATTCTTTGTTCTTAGTTCTATATAAGTAAATATGAACGTGAATGAAAATATTAGCAGCAGATATGTTTTAACCAGTTAGTGACAGTCTAATCAAAAGTCTGAAAAACCATGCTGGATATACAGCTTTGTTTTTCCAGTTTGATGACTTATTAATATGTTAGCCTCTCCAGTGCTGTGCAAGGATATGGCCGGTAGATCTGACTCAGCAAGCAGAGGGCTGTGCCATCAATGGAGGAGAGGTCTGCTCACGAACAATTAGTAGCCACCTCCCCCCACCCCTGACTCTTGGTGTGCTGGGCAGGTGGGCCCTGTATTATAAAGCTAACACATGGGATATGATCAAGAGGCAACGATATACTTCTGATAACCTTGAACTTATTTCTCAGTACAGATGTAAGTAAAAAGTGGTTTCTAAGCAGAAAAGAGAGGTGAATTCTTTTTTTCCCTGCAAAGGATTTTTTTTCAAATCTTCTTATTGTTCTAATGATTGAAACACTGTTCTTTTTAAATTTCAAGAACAATGCTGCCAATATGTCAGTGTGGATTGCTTCAGTACTGCAGTTCTCAGAAAGGAGGGATTGAAATCAAATTTATCACACTGGCTACTAATGCTGTAATATCTAGTAATACTTCACATATTCATTATGGATAGTTTTAATGCAGATTTATATGTTAATGAGGATATATAATTAAGCTGTAGTGATTATTCACTGTTTGTCTTTCAGCAAATATCTTACAGTTGTCTACTTATAATAAAATATAGACGAAATATAGTGAACATGAACAAAAACACATTAGGAAACTAGAAGTCAACTGTTATATAATGTTGTACCTATTTAAAGCTCTGATTATATACTAGAGAATCATCAAATTGGTATTACATAATTTATGTTTAAATCATTGTAGTCAAAATCTATTTGCAAAATATGTTGTAATGTTTTCTAAAACATCAAAGTGCTGTACATAATTTAAACTTATGACATTAAATACAAAAACCTACATATAATTATTGGGTGAAATCCTGGCTCCTTTGAGATCAATGGCAAAACTCCCATTTATTTAAATGGGGCCAGGAGTTCACCAGTTGTAACATTAAAACTATGCCCAATATGACTCATTTTCTTTGGAAATGTAAAGCTCAGACTGAAGCTAGTTCTTAACACACATCATCATTAAAAAGTAAAAATATATAAATAAAGTGTCTGTCTTTATTTTGAATATCTTGATTCTAGCTTGGTTATATTATAACCTTTACGTTATTGAAATATAATATTATAGAAACAGAAACAGAACAAAAGCTCAACTGGAGTCTTCTTGGTATTTTGGGTATATGCCGGTTATTATTCAAAACACCTGTTATTTACCAGCCAGACTGGAATGGCTCTTCTGAAATGAACACATTATACATCGTCCTCCCCTTCCAGTAATATGTACTATTACACAACAGATAGGGAAATTAAAGTTAAAACTAAAAGTTATCTAGAATTGCTAATTCTGTGCAGTATTAAATTTTCAAAGGTCAGTAACAACTTTTTAAAAGTTTGGTTTATGAATTCTGTTCAGAACTGAAGCTATATTTTAGTTTTCCAACCACAACAATGGCAATAATAGAAACATTTCTATTTCACTGGGTTTGTACAGAACTGACACTTAGCACTTCTGGGCTTCAATCTTGCAGTTGGATCTACTAATATGGATCCATGTTCCAGTGCAGATCTGACTGCAGGATTGGGGCTTTAAATGAGCTCTAAAATAAAATACAATTAACTTTATATAGGCCTTTAAAAAATCCTGAACTTCATTTGCAAGAATAGGACTTTAGACGACTTCAAATAAATAGTCATATATTAACCTGTGATTTGTAAAATGAACAATTGTGCTTCATGTGCAGCAGGGTCTGATAAAAATTAACATTCCATTCTTAATATAAAAATGAATATAATGGTGGGTAGTATGTTGCCTCTATCTTGTGCAGTATAAACTGTTTTACTATTCTACAGAAATCCTGTAACTGTGCTTTTCATTTTTGGCAAATTAAAGTTCAATAGTAGCTTCTTATATTCCAAACGACTATTTTTATGCTAAAGCTCTTGTTGTTATATTTACAATTTATGTTTCATTAATATCTTCCTGAAATTATTACATAACTTTATAACACATTAACAAATGATTTATTACATTAATAGTTTTCATTGAATAAAACACCTATGATTTATGCTTCCATTAATGAAAGACATTACCATTTCAAGAACATCACCAACACAGTAGAAAACCAGTTCCAATATTCTGGTGGACAATAATTTTGGTTTAGATTTTTGTAATTTGTACTGTTTGTACAGAACAGACTCATATTAACTGAAGCTTCAGAAGGGTCACTTTTTCATTCACTTGTTCTTTTTTGTATTGTCTTAATATGCTGGATTTTTACTGAGGAATTTAGCCTAAAATTCGGAGCTTTCACAATTTCTATCACTACTTTTCTTAAGTTCCAATAACTCAAAAATTAATCAGATACAGTGAGAAAAAGAGGGCTACAAAAGACAAACTAGTAGTAAGCCATAGAATTTCAGTACAGCTGTCCTAGACAAAGGCAAAATAAAATACTAAAAATCATAAAAATAGAAGGCTATGATAGGCATTCAAAAGCTAGTCACATATTGTTTTGCTTATCATTTAGCCATAGAAGGGTAAAGCAAAAGCAAAAATTATTTTTAATATATATAATACAATAATCACATTTTAAACAATCAAACTACTCACTCATGGGCACATGTGACACCATATCCATGTACTATACACATACTATAAACAAGTGTACATACCTGCAGAAACACGTGGGCAGTCTGGCAACATGGACTCTACTGATGTATCTAGTGGTTCTGAACTAGACACCCAGTTACAACAGTTCTGTAACGTAAGAGACAATTTTATGGTGAAGCAATAATCTAAATCATTAGACTTTATAGATATAGGCCACAATTCAGCCAGTTAGTTAATATGTGACTAACTTTAAGCAGCAGTCACAATGGGGACTGAAAGGTAGACCCAGTGGTACTGCTGACATGCTTAAAGTTAAGCATATGCCTAAGTACCTTGTTGAATCTGGGCCTTAGTTTCACATGTGGCCAAATATTATAAGTAAAACAGCAAGGCCCTGATTCAGCAAAAATACTTAAGCATGTGCTTAATTTTAAGTATATCCTGAAATGCTGCTTTGAATGGGGATGGATTTAAGTGCTTTGATGAACTGGCATCTACGTGAGTAGGCCCAATGCCTTATTAGGGTTGATTTATCAGTTTAAAATTAAGCATGTGCTTAAATGCTTGGTTGAATTGGGGCCTACATTATCCAACATGTAATTCAAACCATTTACCTTTGTAATTGGTTAGTAATTATTGATGACAAATATAAATAATCTCCCATCTTGCTTGCTTGTATTAATAGGTCATAATCTTTAGAGTGTGATGATGCAACCTACTGTTGAGATAGCGCCACGGCTGTGAAGTTGTAAAGCAATGGATTATGACTGGAAGAATATAGTTTTGCAGATTATTGAAATAACTGCCAATTTAGGTAAAATGAACTAGTACAGACACTTTAAAATGTAAATATCACCCTTTGTGGATCTATATTTAATGAACACTCAAGTTTATATTTCAGTCCTAAATTTTTGACTAAAAAGAATTTAATTTTAAATATTTTTCTTCACTGGAATTTGTTCAGAAAAGATTATGTATCAAAATATCAAATAAAATACTTCAAAAATTGTTATTCGGATACATTTGATACATTAGATATTAGGATTTGTCTTACTACACAAAATTTGTTATATTTAAGATTACCTAATAAAGCAATGTGGCTATTTAGAGGCCTGTCAGTTAAAATACAAAATCTTCATGGCTTCAGATATTACAAAACTATTTCAGAGTTTTGCCTTTGTAAAAACTGATTAACTTCATTTAAAAAAAACTTTTTTGGAAAGAGCCAATGAATTTCCAGACAGATTTCTAAAAAATCATCCCATCAATCATGATTGCAAAAATGGTTGATTGCTATTCCGGTAAACAAGCATGTATTGTGTATTTTTAGATGCTTGCTGCCCTAGTTGTGCACCATGGAATCAGTCCTCACTGTGGAAAGATCCTTGACTGGTAGATCAAGTGTCTTATTGTATTTCCTTAATTCATTCTGTCTGGAAGAAGATGTCAGCTGTGTTGCAGTGAGGAGAGAATTTCAAAGGCTCCAGTCCCCACCAATAAAGGCCGAGGAATGGCTTTTGAATAGATTTGTCAAGGCAACCCTACTGTTCTGGGACCAGGGAGAGCAGGAACAACATAAAGGAAGGGTTGCTGTATGAGATTAGAAAGTGAAGTTCACAAAGCATGGCAGATTTTTGTAAGAAACAGTAGATCAATGAAACTATTGAACTGTGTGGAAAAAAAAAACCCGATGAAAACAAACACTATCCAGTAATGTTATCTTTTTAGTAAAAATGGTTAAAATGTTAGTATTTCCATGTTTCACACAGGCTTTAAGGTTTAAAATAGAGATTAATTTTATAATTTGCATGTCTAATTTTAATTAACAGCTGAATGTAAAAATGCAAATGTAAGAAATTATAAAAGAACTAGGATTTTTATTAGGTATTACATTCATTTGAAATAAATAAAATTAATATTAACTACTGCTAGAACACTACATCATAGAGTTTGAGATAATACAGAAGATTAGCACACAATTAACCAGCTTTTATGTGCAATGTGACACTTGCCTGTAAGAAATAAGTATTCTCGAAAGCGGTGTCAAGATATGTAAATGGATGATTTGTTTTATCATTCATCACAGCTCCTAATAAATTCAAAAATCATGACTTCTACAGGTACTAAAAATAGGCCACCAATGATACAGGAGAGATAGCTTCAATGAAGAATGACTTTTTAAACAATTCATTCTTTCAATGACAGCAATTAGCACTACAGACAGGCAGTGATTAGGTGTACATTTTAATTATTATTATTCATTCTACCAGTAGCCCTAAACCTGATTAAGTAAGAGATAGCTAGGTGATATGCTAGTCTTACTACCACTCACCTACACTTCACATATGTAAAAATACTTTTTATAGGAGATTTCCAATGCTAATGTAAAGTTATGACACTCCATCCACATTTTAGGCCATTAATCACGTTACTTATTCTTTAACATCTACTTTCTGTAAATGAAATTAAAGGTAATGTACTTGTCTCATTCACACTAAATGTTCAGAGAAAAATGAGTTGTCAGATTCAAATGATAGGACTTAACATTTTCAGTTTTACTGTGTAACATATATTTTAAGGGTTTGATTTCCCATAAAAAATGGGGATTTTTCTGACAGAGCCTAGAGGGGTTAGTATTCTTTATATTTTTAACATTTAAGTCAGAGCTGTCAGACTGCATCCCAGGTGATTCTCTATTCCCATCAGTCATGGCCTATAAAACTATAAGGTTAAGTTAGGAATAGGCAGTCTATAAACAATGTTTCACTAAATCCACAGGAAAACTCACTCCTATTAAAAAGTACAGAATACATTAGTTTATATTAGCACTATATATTGCTTGTTTTAAAATTTCAAAATAAGAATAGATAAATACAGAAAACATTCCCAATGACAACACTATGACCTTTATTTGATCAGGAACACAGATTCACAAACAAGAGTTTAGTTGATCTCACATTACAAATTATTTCTCTCTTTTTAAATTGCAGCTAGCCCATACTTAATAAATGTATTCCGTTATATTCTACCCACAGAAAAAAAGTTGTGCTTGCTGGCCATAAACAAATATCAGGTTAACCTCAGATTAACTAGCAGTTCCAATAGTACAAAAGTAATAAGAATGGTTTGCTCTTTCACCGAAGGATCTTTAAAGTACTTTATAAACAATTAAAACTCTTAACACTTGTGTGAGGTGGATAAATTTACAGGAGTTCTACAGATCATAAACTGAGGCACAAAAAGGTTAAAGGACTTGCTCCACAAAGCAAGCAGATTCAGAATCCAGGAGTCCTAAGTGCCTGCTAGTACCCTACTCTGTGACCAGATCACATGCCTTATATTTGTGTATACCTTGCTGTATAGTAGAAAAGAAAACTACAGTCAGTTTTGATTGGTTTTCACTGGTGACTGAGTTCCCAAAATGTTTTTAATTGAAATTATTTCAGGGACAGATGTAGGCATGCTGTTTACACAGTTCTTTAAAAATGCTTTCTTGTGTATCTTAAAGAAATGGAAGAGGTCAGTATTTAAATACATGTTTGTAGAATCATATATAGCAATGTCTGCCCCAACTCTTTTAAAAACCATTCTCACCTCTCGCATCCATTCTCGAATAGTTTTGCCAGCTTCTTGATGCCACACATTGTGAACAGAGTCTGTCAACGCCACAGCAGTTACCTTATTCTTTACATCTGCCTCTCGTTGAATCATCTGTTAAAAAATATGGGCTTTAAGTTCTTTTTTCACTTGAATGGTGTCTGATTAGTGACAGATAATGATTTTAAATTAAAAAAGCGAGAGTAATACAAGTTGACTTCACTTGTTTTGAAGTTTATACAAATCCTAACAGTTCCAGACATATAGAAAGACCTAATATTTTTTGATAAAAGAAATAATACTAACTTTTAACTCACTGAACTATTCAGTCCTATTATTTTCCATGTGGCTTGACAATTCTAGGATGAAAGGTATCACAGTGAAAAAATGGAAGATTCCCCGAGGACACCTTTTACAAGTTTTTTCAAGTTCCTATTTCTGTGCTTCAGGGAAGCTGGAACCCGTGGTTCACTGTAAGCTACTCATGACTATCATCTACTAATTTTCAGTAGATTGCTGTAGTTTTTCTGATGTACAATCTTACTTTGACTTGTAGGGGTTTTTTTCTTTTTCTATCCAATTTAGCTGCCCTGCGCTCCTACTATGGTCCCAGAATTCTTTGTGGTCTTTCTCATGCACACTATCATCAGAGCCTATCATTATTATTTTGTTTGCTAATATACTTGCCTCCATTAAAATTTGACCCTATAACATATCTAAATGATGTGATTACTAAAAACAATAAAATGATAATAACTGCAAATAACACACATGAATTGACAAATATGCTCTAGAACTCAACACTGGTCTTCAAGATAAAGGGACTGCAAAGGAAGAGTGATATCAAAAACAGACAAAAGTTTTTAGTCTCCTGACCCTAATTGGTAAAAAACAGGTCAAAGAAAGTGTAATGAATTATAGTTATAGAAACTGCATTTCACATCTAGTATTTTCACCATTGTATATGTTGTACTAAATGTCATTATTTTTCCAACTTCCTCTCATGTAATGGCTACATGGACAATTTCTCTCTCTAAAGCCAGCCCTTCTTTGTTAATAGAATCAACTATTTTTCAACATAATAGACTACTTCTCTGAAATGACGAGAGACCATTAAAATGGAGTTGTGCATGACTTTTCATATAATAAACAGACATGAAATCCATACTTTTGATACAGAAGCAATGTTTGCCAACATCCTGTACAAACTGTCTTGCTCTTTCTATTTCCTCTAAAGAGTACTGTAGACATGCACATCCTTTTCACTGAGCACTACTAATATTACCACCAAATCACTGCTGCATTTCCACATCTTAAATTGTCATGTTTCATGTTTTCCACTTATGCATATTTTAAAATGAATGTAATGAAAATAATACTCTGGATAGCTGGAAAATATTCACCATCACTGCAAAGTGAAATTCCCATACCCGGTCAGACCAGTGGTTCTTTACCTATCTCTGATAGTGGCCAGTACTAGATGGTTCAGAGGAAAGTCCAAGATACCTTGGAGAATTTTGTAAAAACATTCAGCTTGTTTTGATGAAAGATATGAATGGTCTGAGGGTTATAGCTAAAATTATTAGATTTTCTATCATTGTACAAGGCCCCAAATAGGCTCAAATTCTATAAAATACATGAAGATGTTGATTCTTCATACACTAAAAAATCACCTGTTCCAAAACCATCTTGCTCTTCTTACACACCCTGTCAAGAGTCAGGTCAAAAGACCCACATGAGCAAAGTCACTGTGGTATACCAAGTCCTGGGTCAGACTGTTCTATTTGAAGATTAAGCGGGTGATCCATCAGTTCCAGGAACCAAAACCTTCTGGGACAGCCAAAGGCTAACAACAGTGATGTGCTGGAGGGAGCTCCCAGGTGAAAGTTCTGCTACTAAACTGAAGGGAAGGCTACAGAAATTTCACTACGTCTTATGGAGCTTGCCTCCTCTCTGGATACTGTTAAATAACCCTTGCAAGAGATGATTTACCTCTAGAGTTCATAAATATACTTTTGGACAGTATTTCCCCCCTCCCTTTGTTGTGGTGGAAATGCTGATTGCACCAACTGACTTATCCTTTAAAAACAATTCCAAGGGAAGGATACCTACACACTGCCCCTACAAGATCTTCATACCCAGCTTCCCTAAATTATACAGTTTGAACAATGTACTGTACTATCAATATACTCTGTTTGGCTTTCAGAAACACAGAGCACACTTTTTCAGCAACTGAAAAGGAGTTCTTATGTGGGTAGGTAAATCTAACTTAGCTAGATCATAATATGTTCTTATACAATTAGAGACCCATTCTGATAATCTTGGTGAGGAAACTGGTCCTTTCACTTTCACAATGGCTATGAACAATCTAGGTGTGTTCCTGAATGGTTTTGTCCTGATAAGGTAATATGACAGTGCCCTTACTAAATCAAGTGTATGAAGTCTAGCTTTCCCCAAGATGGAATGAGGTTTGGGTAAGAAAACTGGAAGATGAATAAATTGGTTCACATGGAATTCTGAAACAACTTTAAGCAGGAATTTGGGATGAGGCCTGAGAATAATCCTGTCCTTATGAATCACTGTATCAGGGGGACCCACCCTGAGGGTCTGAATCGCCCCTACTTGTCAAGAGGATATAATGGCTACTAAAAAAAAATAGTCTTCACTGTTAGACGGTACAGGGAACAAAGGAAGAGTCTGTCAACCTTAATACTATATTGAGGTTCCCAAGAGGGAGATGACTCCAAAATTGGAGGGAAAACATGAATAAGGCCCTTAAGGAATCTAGCCACTGTAGGGTAAGAAAATACAGTGTGGCCCTGAATATGAAAGAGGGTGATGTGCAAATATTCCTAAGGAACAATCAGAAAGTGCAGATTGTTTCAGAGCTAGTAACTAGTCCAATATCACTGAAATGAGTGTTGTCAAGAGAGAGAGAGAGAGAGCGCTAGTGCTGAGATGACCAAATATAAAATCTCTTCTGCTAAGCTTTATAAGTCAGTCTAGCTGAAGCTTTCCTGCTTTGGAGCAGAAAGTGCTGAACTTCAGCTGAACAGCTTCTTTTGGTGAACGTCAGCCAGCTGGTATAGCATCTGACTGCTGTGCGGCAAAACTGTTGGGCAGAACAGACAAAATGATCAGCAGCTACCACTGAGAAGCTTACCAGATCTGAATTCCAGAATCGGCTGGCCTGTGCTAGGACTATCATGGTCCTCGATCCGGTATCTTGCCTAAATCCTCAGGACCATCAATATCACAGAGATCGGGCTGGGGGGGACGCATACATTAGTCCCAGTGTCCAGGGATTCAGAAAGGCATCTAACAGAGAGTCTAGATGGGAGCTCCTCTGGAGCAGAACACTTGGCATTTCTCAGTCTGTGGCACATATTGTGCTGACATTAAACATCACAGCTATGCATTAATTATGTCAACATATATTCAAAAATTTGAGAAAGGTTATTAAAATATGTCTCTATTTCTATAGGAATCCACCAATCAAAATGTATCCTCTACAGCTGTTGGTATAAGAGCTCTCTGGGGCTTCTGGCACACTTAGCCCTTCCGGGCACTCCTGATTAGGAATGGGCAAACTGATTCAGTCAAAATAAGAAATGGTCCAAAATTTCATCCATTTCGTGAACTGAGTATAAACTCTTTTTTAAAAAATTTGAATTGGTTGGGAAGTCTCTCCTTCCTCTAGGCCTTCCACCCTCATTTGCTGGTTAAGATATGATATAATATCGGTATGGAGTACTTGTGGCACCTTAGAGACTAACAAATTTATTTGAGCATAAGCTTTCGTGGGCTACAGCCCACTTCTTCGGATGCATGGATATGGTATTCCTCAGGTTTCAATGAACATCCAAATGGGCACAAATTCTCAGTAGACGTGCTGGGCTCTGTGAATTGTTTGTAAAAGTAATGGGGCAGGGGAAGGACAGAAGAATTCACAGCCAGGGAGCAATTGAGAGAATTTTCTCTGAAGACCCCTCCTTATAGAGGGGGGACATAGTGCTTATTTCTGAAGACTCCAGTTGCTCACCTGGGAGAGGGGATATGCCTGTAAGCCCTTCCTATGACTCTTTCAAATCTTCACTTCACTCACACTCATAAAAGCAAAGTAGTTAGTCCATCCTAGAGCAGGATTAACTTCTGCATTATGACTGGTATTTGAATGAGCTTTCCTCTTCCCCGGAGAAACAATCCATTTGATCAAGTAGCAGGTTTGGCTGGGTTGGTGCAAAAAAATGTTAAGGATATTACAATAAGTATAAACCAACAAATGTTCACCTGGCCAGCGAATTTCATTGTTTTCAGGGGTTTAAGTGATTACAGGAGTGTGACATTAAAGTAGTATTTTTGTGGCAATACACAAAATATTGCTGGTACTATTTTGTGAATGGTGCAAATAAAACTCACAATACAATTCTTTGGTATAAAGGCCTCAGGCTGTAACTCTATTAAAACTTTAAACTTAATAAAACAGTTACCCAGCCTCTTTCAGTCCCTGCAATTTTAATACAGGGCTTATAGGAGAAAAGCCTTTGAGGAGCTATAATAAACCTAAAGAACATCAAGTTCCCAACACACTTTCCTTGCTGATTTGTGTTACAGAATAACTTGCTACAGGGCTTGCTTGCTTCTAAGTGTGGAGTCACTATTGTCTGCCATAGTCCACCTCCAATTACCAAACCTGAGGCCAATTTGGGGTACCAGGTTAAAACACAGACCACTCCTATCAGTGCCATAGGAACCAGGTAGTGGGTACACAAATTGAAATACCAGTCATATTGGTGGAAATCTGACTCAGAGTCTCTAACTGAGCCTCGTCAAAGCAACTACAAATTGAGCAATCTAGTCCTCTGGAATGGGACCCACTACCGTCAGTCTAAAACATGATCCAAAGTATAGAAAGCTCACAAACTCATCTAACATCTTCATCTGATGTCTGGGGCTACAGATCTTTCTGTCAACCTGCCTGCCATTGGTCACCATCTACGAGATTTGATAATAGCTCCTCGTTGGTCTCCGAAAGCCTGTTAGAAACCTGTCACCTATAAATGAGATAAAATGTTGGCACTCTGATTAAAATCTGATAGATATAAAGTTTTCCT